CTATAAATCGAACTTGTTTCATTTTTTTATTAGACTCCAATAAACTCTTATTTATAACTCTAAACATTTTTGTGTATAATGGAACCCAACATTTATCGTTTTAACATTTTTGTCAAAATTATTTAATTTTTAGTAATTTAAATTTAATTGTCAATTGTTATTAATATGAAATTTGAAAAACAAAACATGAAAAATAAGATTTTGATTTAATAATAATGATATAAGATGTTGAATTTTGGGTAAATTTGTGTAGTAACCAAAAGAAAATTTATAATTGGCAATTTAACCAAAAAACTTAAATTTAGTGGCTACAATTTTGATTGCCAATTATAATTTTTTTTGTTTGGTTATTCATCCCAAATTCTCTTGAATTTTATTAAGGGTCATTTTGTTGTATAACAAAAAAAAATAATAATTAAAAAATAAGTAAAGAGGGTGTTGGGATATCAATTCAACTCCCACATCGAAAGTTTAGACAAAAATTGTCTAATATATAAGAGAAGTCCAACTCTAATTAGTATGAGACATTTTGGGAAGGAACCCAATAACAAATCCGGGCGGATTTTGCCACATAGGCCCAAAACGGACATTATCATACTAATGGGAGAGTTGGACATGGGCTTGAAAAACCACACAATTGGTATCAAAGACTAGGTTCAGAAAAGGAGGACCTGGAGGAGTGGGTGTGGGATGCATGTTTGTTGTGGGAGGAGAGCCCTCAAGGTTACCTCGCAATTAAAGGGTGTCGGTGCCTTGTGTCGAAAGTCTTCCTAACTAAGCAGAAGGTTAGGCGGCATTCCGTTGGTGATTATGGCGGTACAAGATGGGTGCCAGGATTCGCTGGAGGTTGGAGACCACGGGTTTGTGTTGTTCTTGGTTTGAGGGGAGGATTGTTGGGATATCAATCCAACTCCCACATCGAAAGTTTAGACAAGAATTGTCTAATATATAAGAGCATTCCAACTCTACTTAGTATGAGGCCTTTTGGGAAGGAACCCAATAACAAATCCGTGTGGACTTTGCCACCTGGGTCCAAAGCGGACAATTATTGGGATATCAATCCAAATCCCACATCGGAAGTTTAGACAAGAATTGTCTAATATAAAAGAGATGTCCAACTCTAATTAGTATGAGGCCTTTTGGGAAGGAATCCAAAAACAAATCCGTGCAGGCTTTGCCTCTGGGCCCAAAGCGGACAATATCATACTAATGGAAGGAGTTGGACATGGGCTTAGAAAAGCCCCAGAATTAGTATCAGAGATCAGGTTCAGAAAAGGTGGACCAGGAGAAGTGGGTGTGGACTGCAAGTTCGTTGTGGGAGGAGAGCCCTTAAGATGACCTCGCGATTAAGGGGTGCCGGTGCCTTGTGTCGAAAGTCTTCTTAACTAAGCGGCGGGTTCCGTTGGTGATTACAGCGGTACAAGATGGGTGTCAGGATTCGTAGGAGGTTGGAGACCACGAGTTTGTGTTGTTCTTGGTTTGAGGGGAAGATTGTTGGGATATCAATCCAAGTCCCACATCGGAAGTTTATACAAGAATTGTCTAATATATAAGAAAAGTTCAACTCTAATTAGTATGAGACATTTTGGAAAGGAACTCAATAACAAATCCGTGCGGACTTTGCCACCTGGACCCAAAGCGGACAATAACTCCCCATTGGATATCCCAACAGAGGGTATATCCCAAAATTATGATCATTGGATGTGAGGGTTTTGGTTAGTTTTTAGATTATAATTCTTTTGTGTTATTTTGATCAATTTCCATTTTATTAAACAATAAATTGTAAAATATAAAATTTAAGTGAATGTTGAATTGTGAAGTACTAGAAGAAAGAGTGTCGGC